TTAAATTCACGGTCTTTCTTGCATCTCAACCCGTTTTACTTGTACATTTTCTGATAGCAAATACGAGCTGTTAATTAAAGACGTTAAAAACTCTATTTTGTCGGATGGAAAAGCTGTTAACCCTCACCCAATTAATAAGGACAGCTAACATTTTTATCTGACATCGAGCTGCTCTTATTTGCAGGTATAATCGTGATTTTCGTCGATTTTGAAGAAGGATTTTTTTTCTAAAAAATATAATCAATTCCAGTTTTACTCAGGAAAAAATAACATATGCATCGCATTGTAGGAAAATAATCTGCCATTTTTTTGCATTCAACACTCCAAACTGTCCTTGTTCAACATTCTGACATACCAACATTCTAACACAGGCGTGTACATATTCCAAGAAGCTCCGGTAATCGCCAGGTTACGCAGAGGGTGTCATGTCAAATAATGCTTTACATACTTCCCGTATTCAATTCAGTCCCCAAATATGTGAAGCCTTTTCTGGTGTCCCCTACCGCGACATTGCTGGCATATTACTAATGTCCGCCTGACCTGTTCTCACTCTAACAATTCCTTGGGTTTATGCTTGTTTGTCTGCCGCACTAAGCAATATTCCAGCTATACGACGGCGGTCTGTATATAATCGAATCGGGGCAATCCAGTGATTGATATCAAGAGCATCGATCTTCGCAAATGGGATACAATGATATGCTTCAACCACCCGATCCCGTTAGACGCCTCTTACAAGCATAGACGCCTTTTGCGGCAAGCATCGGTTGCTGAGGACCTATTCTAACTCGGATCTTCACGGGTCTCGGTTTATATATGGCTATTTGCCGCACAACATGAAGACTTAATATCAAATTGTGTACGATTTATAACCTGGTGAACATTACAACGCCATGAACCTTTTAGCCCATCTGCCAACGTTTTGGCCTCTGTCGCGTGTTTAGTGAAAAAGGGTATTGGACTATTTCTATGACGTCATAATATGATGACGTCATAGAAGCGGGTCTGATTAATCTATCGACTTCAGTACCGGTGTATTTAGACAACTAGGATCAATAGATGGAAAGGTAAGCAGCTGTGAATACATGTTCCCTGAATACATGCGATACCCGGGACTCCGGGTTAGAATAGGCCCCAGACATGTGTGCGTGTTGTCTGACGCGACCAAATGGTTCGGGAGGCAAGTTCGGTTATTTGGTTGATTGCGTATTATCGTACCCCATCGTGTTGAAAGTTGCTCGTAACATCAACTACTTACAGGCAACCGCCACAGCTGGAATATTGCTGTGTGTCGAGTAAAACAACAAACAAACTTAATTATTCATGTCTGACACTGCTAACGCGGGACACAGGTAGCTCCGTCGTCTAATACCCCGTTCACATGCGCCTCTATACATATGTGTGTATATGTGCATACGTGTGTAAAAATACATACGTGAGTATATTTGTCATGTGAACATGTTTACTCATGTGTGTATATTTACACCAGGAGCAAATGTGCATCATGTCTGGAGTAGGTGCAAATGTAAATGTAAATTTGCACTGTGTGTATATGTTGCAATGTGAACGTTTATGCCAACGTAAGAGGATGATTTAATTCATATCTGTTCTTTTGCCAACACCAAACAAATTGTCAACAGTTGCCAACCTTTATGCGTATATGCAGAGGTGAGCGGACCGTGTTTTCTTTTGGTTTCAAGGAGTAAAAATTGTGTGTACAAATTAAATCAAACACATGTTGCTTCACGCGAAAACTTTCGGTGAAGTAACTCTCTTCTCATTCAACCTTGATTGGAAAACAACCTGTTTTTGTTGAAAGTCGTAAACAGACTGTATGTGTGCCTTACACAATTTACATACTTTATTTACACACCTAAGTTGATTTTCACGTGAACGCATAGTAAATTTACATGTACACACGTATGTATAGTTACACATGTGCGAAAAATTACTATTCGTTTGTAAATGTTGTGCATGTGAACGGGGTATAAGTCAATGCCAGAAACTTATGTGGTCGTGTGTTCGAATCCCGATTCACCATAATAAAGTTTCTAGGTTTGTCAGCACCATGCCCGTGGTCGTGTTTCACAAAAGTGGTGCAAACCCACGAGACCTGTATCACTTCGGGCTTTCCTCCCACATAAAGGGAACATATATATGGAATAATGTTATAAAGGGCGTTAAGCCAAATTCACTCATTCACTCACTCTGCTACCCCACATCAGAAGAAGCCAAGAATCATCAGCATTCCATCAATTGTTGAGACAACAGCACCCATGAGACACAGACGACAGGCGCTTTGGCCTTGCACCATACACAAACAAACTCATAGCTCAAACACTCGATCAATTTAATAGAGGATATACCATTTCATTTCAGATTACAAACATATCCCTAAATAATTAGTGAAATGTTTATTATGTTCAATATTTAATAGACATCGTCCGAATTTCTTAATAACTTTAATACCAAGAGGTGAAAGCCTTTGAGAAGTATAAAAATCTTGTCTTTCACGATTTGAAAATAGCTCGACTTTAGAATACACGGATCCAAGCTCCTTCCCTGCGCGTGACCCCTTCGTTATCCACGCGGTGTCTTCGCTGCCACAATCACTCACTCACTCACTCACGCACTCCACTCCGCTGCCACTTAGAAAATCTGCAAATCTAGAATAGAACGATTTCAAATGTTGAGGAAGATCACCTATGCTTAATTACTTTTCAATATTTAAAAGTGATTTAAACTGGTTAAGGTAAAAGGGCTCGGGATGTTATCAACAAAAATCAATTGTCTCCGAAAATTTCCGGTTTAGAATTTGTTCCTAACAACCTGGATGGATCGGGAGGGCAGGCCCAGACTCTACCGCCGTCATATACTAAATAGTTGGAAACAAGCCAATGATATGTTAAAAGTTTCATATGCGCCCTATGGTTACACACACACACACACAATCTGATCACGACATGCCCCCAACAATGTACAATCTGATCACTACATACGTGCAACAATGTTCAATCTGATCAATACATACCTGCAACAATGTTCACTCTGATCAATACATACCTCCAACAATGTTCAATCTGATCACTACATACCTCCAACAATGTTCAATCTGATCACTACATACGTGCAACAATGTTCACTCTGATCACTACATACTTGCAACAATGTTCAATCTGATCACTACATACCTCCAACAATGTTCAATCTGATCACTACATGCCTCTAACAATGTTCAATCTGATCACTACATACCGTTAACAATGTTCACTCTGATCACTACATACCTCCAACAATGTTCAATCTGATCACTACATGCCTCCAACAATGTTCACTCTGATCAATACATACCTCCAACAATGTTCAATCTGATCACTACATACCTCCAACAATGTTCAATCTGATCACTACATACCTCTAACAATGTTCACTCTGATCACTACATACTTGCAACAATGTTCAATCTGATCACTACATACCTCCAACAATGTTCACTCTGATCACTACATGCCTCTAACAATGTTCAATCTGATCACTACATACCGTTAACAATGTTCAATCTGATCACTACATACCGTTAACAATGTTCACTCTGATCACTACATACTTGCAACAATGTTCACTGTGATCACTACATACCTCCAACAATGTTCAATCTGATCACTACATGCCTCTAACAATGTTCACTCTGATCACTACATACCTCCAACAATGTTCACTCTGATCACTACATACCTCCAACAATGTTCACTCTGATCACTACATACCTCCAACAATGTTCAATCTGATCACTACATATCTGCAACAATGTTCAATCTGATCACTACATACCTCCAACAATGTTCACTCTGATCACTACATACCTCCAACAATGTTCAATCTGATCACTACATACCTCCAACAATGTTCACTCTGATCACTACATACCTCCAACAATGTTCACTCTGATCACTACATACCTCAACAATGTTCACTCTGATCACTACATACCTCCAACAATGTTCACTCTGATCACTACATACCTCCAACAATGTTCAATCTGATCACTACATACCTCCAACAATGTTCACTCTGATCACTACATACCTCCAACAATGTTCAATCTGATCACTACATACCTCCAACAATGTTCACTCTGATCACTACATACCTCCAACAATGTTCAATCTGATCACTACATACCTCAACAATGTTCACTCTGATCACTACATACCTCCAACAATGTTCAATCTGATCACTACATACCTCCAACAATGTTCAATCGACATTAAATTTTTTATTTGCACAGACAACAACAGAATCATGTAGTACGGGATGCTGGTGGTGTTGAGGATGCACCAGATGAGTTTCCCCCGGAGGACACCCCCCATATGCCCCCCTCTGTACACGACGCAGTGACTGAGGGGGGACACAAGAGGCGGCCCCTCCCAGCAGCACTCCTGTGCCAACAGCCAGACAGGTCCGACATCAGCTTGACCACAATGTTGTTATGGTAGAGACTGTAATGTAGAAAATGTTCGCATTCTTGTTTGTTTGTTTGTTTGTGGTTTAACGCCGCACTCAGCAATATTCCAGCTATATGACGGCGGTCTGTAAATGATCGACTCTGGACCAGACAATCCAATGACTGATATTATGAGTATCGATCCACGCAGTTGGAATTGATGACATGCATCAACCAAGTCACCCGATCCCGTAAGTCGCCTCTTACGACAAGCATAGTCGCCTCTCACGGCAAGCATGGGTTGCTGAAGATCTATCCTATCCCGGATCTTCATGGGTCGTTCGCATCATTGAAAACTATTAATTGTGCTATTGTTCTCTTTAATATATTCAATCGTTAGAAGTTTTTTTATACGTCATCTCTTGGAGACAAGGTAATACACAGATTCTCATGGTTAATGGTTAAAATCACAATGATAAAAGTGCACCATGTCTGTCTTGATACCATTTTCCTTAATCTACCATTATCTGTTGTTTAGGGCTGCTCCCCGAGCGGGACACGAGAACAGAGATCTCGGGGCTGGGGATGACTGTAAGGATGAATTGTCCCAACCCAGGTCACCAGGTCCTCCACCCAGGTAAGATAGCGATCACTGGATGTATTGTTTCCCCCACAACACATTATGTTTCAGAACATCTGTCCAGTGAACGACATTAATATACAAATATAGACTTTTTATGCGGTTTATATATACCTGTTTTTAATGAACCCAAGAATTATTATCTAGCATCTGTTGTTTCTATGGACAGACAGTTTATATAACAAAGGGAAATTAGACTGGAAAGTTGGTTTTAACGATATCGTTTTCTTGCCTATTGCCACAAATATGCCTACTCCACAATAGTATAATGAAATGTCTACAGTATTCACGAAGGTAAATCATTTGTTTGTTTGTTGTTTAACACCGCACTCAGCAATATTCCAGCCATATGACGGCGATCTATAAATAATCGATTCTGGACCAGACAAGCGAGTGATTGACATCATGAGCGTCGATCCACGCAATTGGGATGCGGTGACATGCATCAACCACGTCAGCGAGTCTGACCACCCAATCCCGTTAGTCGCCTCTTAGCACGGGTTGCTGAAGATCTGTTCTAACCCGGATCTTCACGGTTCCGAAGGTAAATGAAGTTATCCTAAAACTGTATATCGCTGGTCTGTTTCAGGGATCTCGAAGTCGCCTTGAACCGAAGCGCAATCATCTTGTAAGTTTATAAACTTTTATTCTCCACTCACTTCACTGTTTTGTCTCTACAATGACATCAGCCATGACCTGTTGAATACAGACAGTGATATATCATACATTGTTTATTCTCCACTCTCTATACTGACATCAGCCATGACCTGTTGGATACAGACAGTGATACACCATACATTGTCTATTCTCCACTCTCCATACTGACATCAACCATGACCTGTTGGATACAGACAGTGATACATCATACATTGTTTATTCTCCACTCTCTATACTGACATCAACCATGACCTGTTGGATACAGACAGTGATACACCATGCATTGTTTATTCTCCACTCTCTGTACTGACATCAGCCATGACCTGTTGGATACAGACAGTGATACACCATACATTGTTTATTCTCCACTCTCTGTACTGACATCAGCCTTGACCTGTTGGATACAAACATACATACATCATACATTGTTTGTTCTTCATTCTAATTTGAAAGAATTGACACGTTATAATTAATTATGTATTATAATGACAGACACAGATTTAATGAGGAATGATTCCCTGCAGAATAATAAGCTGATACATTGTTATTCTCTGTATGTAGGCACGACTCATCTAGCCAAAGATCCAGAAGCAGCACCAGTATCAGCACAAGCATCAGCAACAGCAGCGGCACCACGAGCAACATCAGCATCATCTCGTTCTACTACATAGATGAAGTGGATAGGTGACTTATACTTTTTTACTGTGTTTTACTTATCACAATATGTACTATAAAATTGAAGACAACATGTCTTGTAAAGAATTACTAGGTTAAAGAGCAGTTAATTATGGCCGACAGTTCGATCACAGACAGGAAGTTGGTCGGACAGCCTCTTGCAAAGTTGACAATAGCTGTCGAATGTTTATCATCACTTATTATTAATTATTTAACAAATCATACAACTAACTATAAGACATGCCTGTGACTTATTCGCGTCAGAGCCGATGCGTTTAATCGTTAAAATATAGGAAGCTTTTTCATTTACTTTGCATTAAACTTGGTATGAGACTGAGACAAACGAAAGGGAGCAGGACTAATATTTGAGATACTTTTTGTACGAACATCCTGATCCCCTCCATATGCGTCCTCATCTCGCGTAAAGTCAGTGACACTATGGAAGCAGTGACACTATGGAAGCAATGACACTATTGAAGCAATGACACTATTGAAGCATGCACGCTGCCAGATTACCTGCTAGAAACTGTAAACCGGTGGGTAGACAATGACAATTCTTCATACAGTAATGTTATTGTATTCCTCCTCATTCGAGAGTTCCTGAAGCACACTCCGCCACCTTCTCAGGTACCTATATTGTCAAGAGTTCGTAAACCTGTGATTATCCACCCTTCCTTACAATACAATACAGATCTAATGAATTTGTGTTGGAAGTTTATATGAAATTGCCGTGGCATATTTCTTGTTATATGTTTATTTCCCTTCGGGAATACGTGCTACAGCTACGGGAATATGTGCAAGAGTTACGAATAGATAACATGTCATGTGGACTGAATCGCGAACTTTAGATAAACAAATGTGCTTTCTTCAACAGCCAATTCCAACAAAAGGAAGTCTAGGATTCGCCGCATGGGAAGAGTGATTCTCAGGGTACGTACATCTATACTGTATCAACCACACGCGTCACCAACGTCCATGCAATACAATGTTTGACAATGTCGTTAAAAATGGAAGATTCTACTATCAATCTGAAAGTAACTCGTCACCCACATTAATTCCGTACAATGTTTGATCAAGTCATGGATGTATCTGAAGACTCTACTATCTATTTGAAAGTAACTCGTCACCCACATTAATTCAATACAATGTTTGATCAAGTCATGGCTGTATCTGAAGACTCTACTATCAATTTGAAAGTAACTCGTCACCCACATTAATTCAATACAATGTTTGATCAAGTCATGGATGTATCTGAAGACTCTACTATCAATTTGAAAGTAACTCGTCACCCACATTAATTCAGTACAATGTTTGATCAAGTCATGGCTGTATCTGAAGACTCTACTATCAATTTGAAAGTAACATTAATTCAGTACAATGTTTGATCAAGTCATGGATGTATCTGAAGACTCTACTGTATGTTTGAAAGTAACTCGTCACCCACATTAATTCAGTACAATGTTTGATCTAGTCATGGATGTATCTGAAGACTCTACTATCAATTTGAAAGTAACTCGTCACCCACATTAATTCAATACAATGTTTGATCATGTCATGGATGTATCTGAAGACTCTACTATCAATTTGAAAGTAACTCGTCACCCACATTAATTCAATACAATGTTTGATCAAGTCATGGGTGTATCTGAAGACTCTACTATCAATTTGAAAGTAACTCGTCACCCACATTAATTCAATACAATGTTTGATCAAGTCATGGATGTATCTGAAGACTCTACTATCAATTTGAAAGTAACTCGTCACCCACATTAATTCAATACAATGTTTGATCAAGTCATGGCTGTATCTGAAGACTCTACTATCAATTTGAAAGTAACATTAATTCAGTACAATGTTTGATCAAGTCATGGATGTATCTGAAGACTCTACTGTATGTTTGAAAGTAACTCGTCACCCACATTAATTCAGTACAATGTTTGATCAAGTCATGGATGTATCTGAAGACTCTACTATCAATTTGAAAGTAACTCGTCACCCACATTAATTCAATACAATGTTTGATCATGTCATGGATGTATCTGAAGACTCTACTATCAATTTGAAAGTAACTCGTCACCCACATTAATTCAGCACAATGTTTGATCATGTCATGGGTGTATCTGAAGATTCTACTATCTATTTGAAAGTAACTCGTCACCCATATTAATTCAGTGCAATGTTTGATCAAGTCATGGATGTATCTGAAGACTCTACTATCAATTTGAAAGTAGCTCGTCACCCACATTAATTCAATACAATGTTTGATCAAGTCATGAATATATCTGAAGATTCTACTATCTATTTGAAAGTAACCCCTCGCCCACATTAATTCAGTACAATGTTTGATCAAGTCATAGATTTATCTGAAGATTCTACTATCTATTTGAAAGTAACCCCTCGCCCACATTAATTCAGTACAATGTTTGATCAAGTCATGGATGTATCTGAAGATTCTACTATCTATTTGAAAGTAACCCCTCGCCCACATTAATTCAGTACAATGTTTGATCAAGTCATTAATATATCTGAAGATTCTACTATCAATTTGAAAGTAACCCCTCACCCAAATTAATTCAGTGCAATGTTTGATTATGTTATGGGTGTATCTGATGATTCCACTATCTTTTTGAAAGTAACCCCTCACCCACATTAATTCAGTACAATGTTTGATCAAGTCATTGGTGTATCTGAAGGTTCTACTCATATTAATCCCCTTTGTTTCAGGGCCTACGTAGATTGGCCCAGCCATTTGTCACGTGCTGCCACGGATGCCGCTGATGTGGAAACTGCTTGGGTGTGTTCTTGTTTGTGGACTGGCTGACATCTTTACATTGATCAGAAAAATCTGCATTTATTTTCAATATCTTTTCATGCACATCGGAAGCATTTCTCGTAATTCTAAAATAATAATTTAATTGTAACTGAAGTAAGTATAAAATTCAAATATCTGACGATGTCGGGTTGTCGTCCGGGTAAGTTGTCAAGCCAGGAACTGACCCAGTACCCGGAAGCGGCTGACCGGGTGACCGAGTTGTGATGTTCCTCATCCACCCTCCGACTGTCTGACGACCCCCACCCCTCCTCAGGGCGAGGTCTCGTCGGTCAACTGGTCAGTCTGACCGGGTGTTGCGTTGTACAGTCCTGATTGCACTCGTCTGGTGATAGTCTAGCTTCGTCCTTCAATGTCGAAATTCGAAATTATCTTTGGAATACTCAAATTTCTGGCACATTGGCACACGTTTTTCTTTTTGGGGTAATTGTAGGATGTCAGTTCAGTCAGCATGCTTGAACACCTACAGGCCGTCACTACACTAAGCACTACATTGTATCTCTGTTTGTTTACTTTTCGTCATGTTCATGTTTTATTAAATATAATGAACTTAGTAACGGCGTTGTGTAATTGTGTCGTGGATTACACGCGGTCAGTGGTATGATGGGTCTTATAGTCTTGTCCATGGGAGATCGGCATTCACTCCCTTGGAGTACTGTTTATTTATAACCCAAATATAGAAACTACCATATGGCCGTGTAGTAGTATTATCATGTTATGCAATAATAGTCTTTGGTATGATAGAGGTAGAGGCAGCTTCACCCCGAGTAGTATAGGTAATGGGGGTTCTGGCTCACTTCCACTGGAGCAGGATTCATATACCTATACTGCTACTACAGAGGGAATTTTTTATGCCAAAATGATGATGCGATTCAACGATAGTCATAAGATTAAGTTAAATTGGCTCTAGCTCACCAATACCTGGGGCCAATGATATAATTTTTTATAGGTAATAGGGGTTCTGCCGCATTTCCACTGGAGCTGGATTTATATACCTATACCGCCACTACAGGTGGCATTTTTTATGCCAAAATGATTATGCGATTCAATGATAGTCATGAGTTGTATTAAACGAAACATCAATATTAATTAATAATGAATAAAATTTACTATAGCCCACGAGGATATTGGAAAGGTGTAGGAGCAATAAAAAAATTAGCCACCGCGGCTAAGGTATCTAAAGATGTGGCCAAGGATTGGTTAAAGAAACAAGCGTTGTGGCAAATATATTTACCGGCACCGCGTTATATACCGAGGAAGAAGTTTGATATTTTTACAACGAATGAAGTTCTTCAGGCTGACCTCTTGTTTCTTCCCCACGATAAGGTAAAACGCAAAACGTATAAATACGCTTTAACAGTAGTGGATGTGGCTAGTTGATACAAAGAGGCTGAGCCATTAATCTCGAAAGATTCAACAGAAGTAGCTAATGCACTGAGTCACATATATAAACGCGGACCACTAAAATGGCCTAAGCTATTTCAAGTAGATCCCGGTCGCGAGTTTATGGGATCGGTAACTAAACTGTTAACAAAGCACGATTCCTTTGCATTGTATTTTGACTATGATTAGTTGTCAGGAATGTAGTACTATTTAATATAAGCAGTGGTGGGGGAGTTAATATATTTAGATGTTCGAATTATCTGTCGACCTTCGGAATAGCATGAATGGATGCCAAGCGTTAACATGTAGGAACACGTGGGATCTTTTGTGATCTTCTTGTGACGCTGAACTGGTCTAACATTGTGTGGAAAGTGCTGGCAGCTAGTTAGGCTATATAAGTGGAGAGGGCGCGTGCCTGTCTCATGTCACATTTCATCTGACATTACATCAAGACCAGCTTTCGCGTGAAGATCACGTATCACCCCGGATTCCAAGCCTAGGCCTAGCTCGGAAGCTTGACCACTGTTGCGGATAGGTGAACATTATTATCACAGAACTTTTGGTATCACCACTGCCATCATATTTTGTATTAGCTACTGCCATTCAAGATTGTACTACAACTCTACTGCACATGGCCACTGTAATTGCTGTGAAGTAATTTGTATTGATTTGAAAACCTAGTTCGATTGTTGATTGTATACCATTTGTTGTTTTTGTTGGTTTCACATTTCTGGGTTAAGTAATTGTTTCAATTTTTGGAATCGACACGTTACAATGTGTTACAGTCTAGTTTTCATTCATGAGAAGTTATATAATGACTTTCACGACAATTTCTAAAGGTTTGGCCCACTTCAAAATACATGTACGCGGATCCTGTTGACCAAAAAGGGCGCTTATCTTAGCTTGTCCTTTGCCTAATGAACGTGTGGGGTGTCATGCGAGATTGTGGCATGTGTCCCAACCCCAACAAGTAATCAGGGATGTGATTGCACTACATAAAGGTATTTAACCAAGGGACCCGAGACTTTCCTTACTTCTTCTACTCTTCACCCAGGTAGGAAAATCGTTGAATGAGCGTACGGTACTTCAGACAAATCATGACGGTTACATACAACTCGTTTGTTGCTAGCGTTTGCCACTTTGGTGAAACCAACGAGCACCTAGTGTGTGAGTGCATGTATACTAAACGCCGAAGTCAGCAGTGTTCCGGATACATAACGCTGACCTGTAAATAATGGAGTCTGGACCAGGAAAACCAGTGACTGAAAGCATGAGCAACGATTCACGCCATGGGGCACGATGACGCGACATCAGGCAAGTCCTATGCCTGACCTATAAGACAAGTACAGATTACCAGGGCGGTACCCTGCCCCAGAGTCCCGACGGGAAGACACACTGTATAGTGCTGTCACGCAAAGGATCAACTTCTGTGTGAAATCTGGACTCTGGGAACACCACATCACTGTACATCACAGTCAAGTCATCTATTTCAGTCAGGTTTATTGCTAACCGTGAGATCTGTTAGGACCGTACCCGCCGGGCCAGCACCAGGCATACTGCATACATACACAATCACTGAGCTTATTCACGAGGAAGTGTGTGTTTCACCTGACATCAATGAACGTTTTGTCCCGTTGTATGTTCTTCATATTTATTTTAAATGAGAGCAGTATACGTCCTGCTTGTACAGGTCCAGGTCAGACGCAGCTGACGAGCTCGGCTTGACGTGTTTATTCCAAGGACAACACTGCCAGAATCTACACAGCTACTGATCTGTGAGTATACGTGTGTTTCTTCTTTCATATATGTTGAATTAGAATATGATCACGTATAGAGTAGCGTATCTAGGGCATTTGATAGCCCACCTACTACTGTTCCAATGTTTCAGGGCAAAATGACAACGCAAGCTCATCGCAAGACCCGTTTCTTTGTATTTCGTTATGTGTTTGAGAAAAGTGCATGGGGGCATGGGCCATAGGGACGGCTAATCGTTGGGAAAATGTAAACCAAGCTTTTAAAAGAAACTTTATCTTTGTCTCCCATGTGTATATTGATATGCATAAATACATAAATAAAAATGTAAATGTTTTTTAAAACATCCCTGACAGTAAATTATTACACTAAAGATGTTTATGTTATTCGGCAACAATCATAACAGGGAGCCGCGTACTGTCCTAGACTGGTTTACACACCGTAGGGCGTTTGCGTTCCTCGCCTGCAGCCTGCAGCAACGGGAAAGGTACCAGTCGAGCTCTGTCCGACCTCTTTCCCCATGTAAAACGTTGATCCATTTCCATGAAGCCGGTCTGTCCGTCTGTCTGTCGAGAGGGGCGGAGACAGGCCTACAGCATATATCGCTATACGGAACAAATATGACGCCATCACTGGAAACAGTTGTTTTAGGAACTATTCCCCAAATGAGAACGATGAATAGCAAAAATACGAGTAACTAAAAATAGTCTGTTAACTGTATATTCCCGACACGGCATTAAATACCCTGTATTTGTATTACCACCAGAATCTATCATGTTGTCATGTGTAGAAGTTGACATCTTGAACAACGGTAAATGGAATAACAGCATAAAAGTCGTATCATGATAATTTTAATCGCAATCTGACTCGCTCATGTCACATCCCTCTTCGGTGGAATTGCTGGGACTGTTGGTGGGACTGTTGCTTGCTGAAGCCTATTACGTGACCAGTATCTTGACTCTATCTCGTAACGCAACGCTGCCATGTCTCCACTGTTACGCGACCGATTCATTTACTAGCTTTCAACATCCCGCGTCCAACACCACCTTTGACGATACTCCATATCACCTCTATTAAGTACAGGTCGCAGTGGTAGGGGAGAAGTCGTAAGACGGCGTGACCTTGACCTTTGGTGTAATTCTCAACTATTTGCACAGACGCAGGTTTTTTAGATTTGATGCCCAGGAAGGAAAGATCATATTCATCCGTTGCAGCCACGTCACCATATCTCCTTTAAGGCTATTAGACGTCAGGGCCTTGCTGTCTGGGTCCTGCATACTGTGCTATGGTCCACTGTTCATGATAATAAGGGAATTGGCAGGCAAAGCAGAGACCAATTTATCTTTCACCCACTCCGAAAATACAACGGACGTTCATTTCTGTGTGGTAGTCAATGTTGTCCTTGGCCTTGGCTCGAGGTCAAGAGAGCCCTGACTAGCATGGCCAACGTGGAGAACGATAAGTCTTTCACCTTTTCCCATTAGCAACTTTCTTCCAGACTCCTTTTAGTCCTCAATGGGTACCTACTGACTGCTGGCTGCGTAAGAGGCAATTACCCTCGTAGCATCTTGGAAAACAGGCTCATACCCTTATTCACGTTTCTGCTTGATGGTTCGAAGGCGAAGGGTGGCAGATCGTTCACATAACACAGCCATATTTCGACTACTTATTTTTTGTATTTATCTGTATCCTTATGTATGCAAAAGTTGCCATAGCTTGTATTTTGTAACAATTAAATCATGTTCAGGTTCAAGGTTCTTTGTGACATGTGCTTATTTTGTAAACGCAGTTTAACAATTGCACGTCTTTTGATTTTGATTATCGATCAGATCTTCTTGACTCAGCGCCGCTATTTTGTTTGAATCAATTGCAACTTATATGAGAGGTTGAATCTGATTGGTCAATAGGAGGGATATAGAAGGGACATAATTCGTAACATTCGTCACCACTCGGCTTGTCCCGGAATAACACGAGTTGGTCAGGAATGAATTCGTTATAGACACTGGTGGAGTTACGGTCAAGCCCAGCCTGGTTTGTTAAGGGTGGAAACTGGACTTATATAGCCAGTTAACTTCCTTGCCTCGAGAAGATGACGCAAGCTATGATGATGCATTTTGTAATCACTCGTACTATATGAATGGATATAGCCTGCTAATATAGTAATTTAGGCATGGTAGTTGTGTCATTATGTTGACAAAGTTCATCAGATGAGTTAGTCCCAGTGTTGTATACGCTGTATTCACACTTTGTACACCCTCTGTACAGTTAAACCTCGTTATTCCGGACGATACGGTTTCCTACGAATCGTCCGAATCGATGTTCCACTGTCTCTCCTTAGTTTTCCTTCAGCTGTGTTGTTGGTTGCTGGGCAGGTGATGTGTCCGTGCTAGAGGAACCGCTGGACTACAGGATGGAGAGGCTGCTTGTATTGGTCGTACTGGTGTTACTCAACACATCGGACGGCCTGGCCATGAACAGTGAGTTGATCCATACACCTGGAA